CTTTCCCTAGCAGACTTATAGGAAGCAACAAATTTAAGAACATGTGGATTAAGAGCAATTAGCAAATCTACCTTTAAACAGAAAAGGGTTCTTAACCTTAATCACTGCAGTGCTGGTCATTGGCTATAATGTAAGGCATATTGTACTGCTCTGAGACACTTGATAGAACTACTTTAGCTGTAATATCCTGAGGAAACTAGTTATGTGATGGATTTGACTTTGAATTTCCAGGATTTTGTGTTGAAATCAGACCCTTTGTATAATTTGACATCAACTTTCTGCATGTAATTACAAATCCATCAGAGAAACAATTTAATGTGTGTCTGGCCACAGATAACTGGTTTTACCTCTGGCTGCCTTTGTTTGTAAAGGTTGTTCAGAGGCTAAACAATCAAACCATTCTGAATTCTTGATTTCCATATCTACTCTGCTGAATAGGAAAATTAATCTTCCTGGTTTGGAAAGAGGAGTTTCAAAACCTTTCTTCTTGGCAATTTCTTCCTATGAACAGATATCTATAAAGTGAGGGCACAGAGTTGTAGAGAAACAAATAATACAAGTTATTTAATGCTGAACAATCACTGCATAAGATAACAAAAAATTATACTGGAAACATTGATTTCTTTTCTTCTCACAAGAAGTTGGCACAGGGGTTCAACAGATCAATCTTCCACCTTATTAGATCCTGTGCTCTTTAAATGGGTTCACGTCTTGGAACATTAATCAGGTCACAATTATGTTCTATAAAGTTAAATGAGGACTAGTAGATACTGATGGTGGCCAGGGTGGAGAGTTAGCTTACACCATGACAGGGAGGTAAGATGGTTCCAACTAGGGTTGCAGGGAGAAAAGAAAGTAGGATTCTCTTTCTCTCTCTCACCCTCACTGTCTCTCTCTGTGTGCCCCTGTGCATGTGCACCCTCTCACTCTCTCTCACTGCCTCTCTCTTGCTGCCTTGCTCTCTTGCTCTCGCTGCCACTCTCTTGCTCTTGCTGCCACTCGTGCTGCTGCTCTTGTGCTCTCGCTGCCGCTCTCTTTTTAAATTATTACCTTGGTTGAATTTCTGGACCCAGGACTGACCCCTAGGGAACCCTGCTTGGTAATTCCTCCCATCTAGACATTGAGTCATTGATGACTCATCACAAAATGATATTATGCCTCTTTTCTTCTTTCAGGGAACAGCCATTAATGTCTATGTGGAAGATGTAGCTGTAGGAATTGGATGAAAATAAAATTCCCAGGTGTCCCTGTTTTAGTTTTGATTAATGAAAACACACCTACAGGCCTGGTGGAATCAAACTGACTAGCACTATGAATGAAAGGGACCTGGAAGCAATAATAGACCACAGTATGAATATGAGCCAGCAGTGCAATACTGGAGCCTGTAGGGCAAATAATATTCTGGCAGGCATCATTTGATGCATCTCCAGCAAAACTGAGGTGATTCTTCTGCTCTACTCAGCACTGGTGAGACTGCAGCTGGAGTACTGCATCCAGTTCTGAGCACCACGCTTTAACAAAGACACGGACAAGCTTGAGAGAGTCCAAAGAAAAGCCACCCATATGATCAGAGTCTTAAAAGGCAAGCCGTATGAGGAAAGGCTGAGGGATCTGGGACTCTTTAGCCTGAAGAAAAGAAGGCTGAGAGGGGACCTGGTAGCAGCTTAGTGCTACGCTAGGGGAGTACATCAAGGGCTTGGTGAGCAACTGTTCACCA